CTCAACTCATTGTTTGTTTAGAATAGTATTTACAATACTATTGAGTAAACAATTTGTTTATGTTAAAACAATACAAAATAGTTTGTTTGAATCGATTCAAACTTTTTCTTGAATAAATGGTGAAAATTTTGAATGCTGTTAAAACTAGTTCCCGTGGCCCCAATTCACTGAAATTTGGTATTCTAGAGTACAATTGATGACAACATAATATTATGTTCGAATATTCGAAAATAAGTTCGAAAATTCAAAGTTATGTTCGAAAATTTTTTTATGCTTTTAAATTATTCTTTGAGTCCAGAAAACTAAAAAAAAAATTCGAAAATTCGAACTCATATTCGAAAAAAATTTAAAGCTGATAAAACCAGTTTCCGTGGACCAAATTCGCTGAAATTTGGCAGTGTTAAGTTCAGTTGATGACGCTACTATATTATCTTCGACTATTCGAAATTAAGTTCGATAATTCGAAGCAATAATCGAAAAATCTATTAATTTGCCGAACTTATTTTTTTTTGCTTTCACTCGATTCACTCACTATATAGTACTTGACTTGAATCACATAAACACTCTCATAGCATGTATCGTTTGAACTGAATATTGTATATTCATTTCATTCATAAAACAATGAGTGAGTCAAACACAGTGTTTGAAAACAATCAAATGTTTTAATTTATTATTTAAGTCACTCATGCAGGGCTCTAAAAAATACTTATTCTAGTAAAGTAGACATCCACTTTTTAAATAACAAAGTTGATTTTTAATGTTAATGGTCTAAAAAAATTGTTATTTTAAGTGACAAGTGAACATTGACTTTTTGGACCCATGACTTTTAACTTATAAAGCTGGAAAATCGAATTTATTCTCATTTAAAGTGACTATGTATCTCATCTATCTGAACACACTAATATTTAACAATCAGGAGAAAAAATTAGTTCTATTTGTGGCCCCATTCTGATTTGTTTTATTTTTTTAACTAATATTTCAGAGTGATTTTATCGAATTTTTCTTATACACTATGTTTCCTAGATTTAAGGCAGAATTCTCGAGGAACGTATGAAAAATGCTATATAAAAAGTTTAATTTATACTGATTTTTTAATAACACAGGTCAACAAAAAATTTTATAAATCGAAATGAAGGATTGCTACTTAAAATTTAAATCTGGCATTAGAATTTTTTTATCATATCAGATTTTTATTGCCACCATCAAAAGTATATATGTATATTCTGGGTCCTTATTAAATTCTAAGACGATTTACCCATGTCTGTTCGTCCGTCTGTCTGTCTGTTGAAAGCACGGTTGGAAAGAGCTAGAGAGTTGAAATTTTTCACAAATATTTCTTATATGTAAGGTTTGTGGTATTGAAAATGGGGAATATCGGTCCACGTTTTCGCATAGCCCCCATACAAGTGGAAAATAAATAACATTTTATGAGGATCAGTCCATAAATGACCCTACCCCTCATATATTGTCCCCTCCAAAAAATGACTTTAACGCCCATTACTCGCTTAAAAATACGAGTCTAGCGCAGAAATTCAATATAAGTAAGTTTCTTGTGAGTTAAAATCTCTCTACCAAATTTTATGAGGATCGGTCCACAATTGACTTTACTCCCCATATAAGGCCCCTTCAGAAAATGACTTGAACGCACATTACTGGCTTAAAAATGCAAGTTTAGCTATGATATTCGATATATAGAAGTAAGTTTCTTACAAGCCAAAATCACTCTACCGAATTTTATAATTGACCTCAATTGGCCGCTCGTATATGTTCATGGTTAAAAATGAACAAAAATATTTTCTTTGTAAAAATTAATATTAATATCGATATATGTACATATGTACGTCTTAAGTTTTATTAAATCCGGATTTAATGAATGACAATTTTCAAAATCCCGCTTTTTCAATATATTTTCATTCAAATCCCGCTTTTTAATCACTCGGATCCCGCTTTTATTCCAAAACCATCCGGTCACGTTAAATATTATAGAAAAAAGTACCTTTTGAAGAACAAGAAAGTACCCTTTTATGTGTTCTCACTTAATCCGGGCTCTAAATACTTAAAAAGTCCCCTTTTACATACATATGTGCTCTCACCTTATCCGGGCACTACATACTTAATTTCATGTTTCTAGGTTCAATATCATAGAAATTTCAAAAAGTACCTTTTGAAGAATGAAATGTGAAACAATGCCCCAAAAAGGGGAGTTATTTCATGATGCCATAAATTTATACCAAAAATTAAATAAAGCTAAAACTATTAAAAACATTTGATTGGTTTTTGGTGGAAAATGAAAGTGATCACAGATTTTCTTTCTTTTTATCCTAGCGCCTCTAGTTTATCCAGAAAATAGGCTTTTATTTATTTACTTATTTGTCCATTACAATACAATTACAAATTATATTCTAACCTAATCTACCGAGCAAGGTGATGATGACCATGCGCCCGTTGTAGTGTAGCAGACTAGAGTCTCCCAAAGGACTTTTATGTTTTTACTCAAAAAAGCGATTTTTTGTGGGAAAATAAAATGGTCACAGATTATATTTTTATTTTAGCCAGAAAATTAATGTTAATTTAATTCGAATTATACTATTTGTGTTCCCATTCACCTTCGTAAAAAACTAAATTTATTATTCGCTTTCGCTAAACTGGCATTCGCAAAACCCTAATATCAAACATACATGTATGTATTAGGGTGATCGATTATTCGACATTTTCCAAAAACCGGTTTTCGAATAGTTGACATTTGAAAAAACTGGTTGACGTTTTTCAAATTCAGTAAAAACCGGTTAACCGGCTTTTCATTATTAATTACAAAATCTATTTCTATTTGCAAAAATTAAGGTTTATGTTTAAATTTGATTAATAAAACATAATCCGCATATATCTTTAACAGTTTAAAAAATATATAACTTTAGTTCTAGTTGTCTGATTTACATTATTTCTTTAATGTAAAACAAAATTGGAAAAAGTGGGACCCTTTGGTTAAACATAAGGAACTAGGTAAATCTACCTTATTCTAAAATCCCTACTTAAACAATTTTCATTGAATACAAAGCAAATAAAAGTATTCGAAACCGGTTTTTAAAAAGTAAAAAATCCGAGTTATTGGATATTCGAAAAATCAACATTTAGAAAAAAACGACACTGGTAATGCAGAAAAAACCGGTTGAAAAACCGAGTCGATCACCCATTTTAAGTACTAAAGGATGAAATTCAGTAGTTGGTCATAAAAATGCAATATTTTCCACTTCAAAAATAAAGACTGGAAACTTTTATGTTTTTAGCAATTATATTTTCATCATTTAAGTACCCAGCAAAATCTTTACATACCTAGTAAGCCAGAAAGTGATAATGGAAACAAGTAGAAACTACTTACTTTTGGGGGGAATAACTACTTATTTTTGTTCGACGTTGACCAACAAATAAGTAGTTACCTACAACAACTAAATATGTGGTTACCAATTTACTTACAGAAACTCTGCGAATAATGAGTTATTTAGTTTGTTACAAATTGTAAACGGACAATTATTTATAAATCTACATACTAAAAACGAAGAAATAATAATATTCGCATTCTGATCGTAATTACAAAAATAAAAATAAAATTTTCCCCAGCCGGGATTTGAACCCAGACGTTCAGTTATTGTCAGTTTCTTAATCCAGCTGTTTGCTCAATGGTCCATTAACTACTTGTTTTATTATAACTTTGTGAACAGTTTTACAAAAATAAAAATCAATGTCATTTCAAAAAAATATTGGAATCAAGCAGTGCTCGAACCACCAACCTCTTGTTTGTTAAATAGACGCGCTAGACCATTGGGCTATAACATTTCCAAATTACTTTGCTCTATATCCGTAAGTACATATTCAGATAAATAAAATAATATGGTTGATAATGAATACCCATTACCACTTATTACCAAGTAATGTATGAAATAACTATGTACTTTTTTTTTACAAAAAATTCTAGATTTTTCGCTGGGAATGAATGAAGAATATAAGATTTATCGTATCAAGAATAGAATAACAAAATAAGATCAATTCGTTAAGTTTTTAATTTTTACCAAGAAAATGCAAATATGTACATTAGAGGTGGTCAAAAAATACCGATTTTGTTTGTATGGGTTTTATTTTAATATACCTCGTTGCATAATTTTCTCTAAAATGTAAGGTTTAGTCGAAATGTTAAGAAAATGTAATTGTGCCATTGCAATTTTTGAAGAAATCAAAAAAAGTCCTATTGCTAACGAAATTTTATACGTTTCAATCAATTTCCGGCACGGTTTCCCGTTATGTGATCGGGCTAAAATTTTACACCAGTTAGTTTTAGACACTAATCAATAACAAATAGAAATGTTTAAGAAATTCATTAAATAATGCTAAAAGTTGGATGTTTGATTGTTCGTACATTATAAAAACAAACCAATTATCTTTAGGGAACCGTAAAATATGAATATAAATATTCAAAACCTAAATAAGCGGACCAGCAATAGAGGCCATGGTAACCCAGAAAACTATAAAATCTAGATTCCAAAAGTTGTATATTAAAACTTTACCATCAACGTACATATTAAAAAATGGCGGTTAAACAATATAGATATCTACAATCAGCAATATATGTATATTTGGGAAACTATAAATTTTAGACTCAAATTTATTTAAAGTATGTAGTTTAATTACTAAAATAAGTGGTTATTACACCTATTACATGCAAGTACTTATTTGAATCTAGTAGGTAACAATATATATAAGTACATATTTAAATCATTACAAGCAACTAATTATTATTGTATTTGAAATAATGAGATTAATATGTATCACTCATTACTTTGTAACCTAGGAAATAACTACTACCCATTACCGAAATTCAAGAAAATTTTGCTGGGTAAGAGTTAATTTTGACAACTTATGTCATTTAGTGTTCCAAGGCAGATATAATTATTAGTTTAGAATTTTTTACTTTTAAAGTTTTTTTTTATAATTTGTCCTTTTTCTTTTAGATGGTGACAAGAACGAAGAAAATATTTGTGGGTGGCCTATCAGCGCCCACCACACTGGAAGATGTCAAAAGCTATTTTGAACAATTTGGTCCGGTAAGTGAATTGAACCCTGAATAAAACTGTAATACACGTCCAAAACTAATTTCATCATAAAATAAAATAGCCTATATGAAATCTAAGAACCTACTGTGTATGTACCAGGCTTGGGGAATTATAAATTACAATTACATCTTCTGTAGTTGTACTTGAACTCTATCAATTACAATTATTTGTAATTCAGGTTTGGTGGTAATGATTGTATTAAGTGGTCAATAATGGTCAATTACAACTATATGTAGTGTATAATAAGTCATAACAAGGGTTTTTTCTACTCCTTTTTTGTTGCCTAACTAATAAAAGAAAGATGCTCTTGTCATAAAGAACAAAAAATGTGAACATATAAAATAAAAAACTTCATAATTTTTTGATTTCAAGTGGAAAGTTTTACATTATGAAATTGCACTGCTTTTATTAATGATACCTGTATGTACATGTACGTATTATGCCCGTAATTTCAACAAATTGGTATCTATCAGTGCATAGTTACTAGAGTTGTCAATTATTCGAGTATAAAATTATTCGAATAAAAATTTACTATATTTTTTCATTCGAGTAGTCGATTAAATTTTTAAAATTATTCGATTTTTCGAACGATTATTTTACACTAGATATTTATAGACAAAAAGCAAAAAACGTGTTTGGAATAGGTTTTAAGATAAAAATATTTTTAAAAATATTATTAAAAAATAAATATTAGGTCTTTGACAGGGGACTTAGGTCTTTGGTAACCAGTTCGCCTATATGTTACTATATGGTAATTACTCTTTACTCTCTCGATGCAAGTATTTACTGGGAAAGTAAATGAACAAACCTAATATCGTTTTAGTTTTCACAAACTCAAAAATTATTTTTTTTATTATTTGACATTTAATTTTTTGATTATTTCTAAATTCAAATTACATGAACAGATTTGCTTTTTATAGTATTAGGAAATCTTTGTAAAACTAAGGAATAAAAATAAATTTTTACACCAGTATGACTAATAAAAAAATAAGACCCATTAATGAAAGCATGAAGCGATACAAATTTCACAAATGTTGAATACGTGTTAGGTTGAATATCCCTACAAAAAGTGTGACTAAAGGTTGAACCCACCAAAATCGAACAGTTTTATGGGGTACATGATCCGGAAAATGGTCCTATGTAATGCAGGCTATGGACCATGTTGTTCATCAAAAATAAATAATAAATAACACTATGCGACAAGAATAAATACCTGGGAAGTGATACTTTTTTTCTGAAAGGTGGAACCGAGTAGAACAAGAATCTGTTTTTGTAATTTGCCAAGCACCTCCAAAATCTTGAGATAACGGTAAAACACGGTTTTTGTACCATTAAGCACTTATAAGTCTGAATCTAATCCAATTTTAAGCCTCAATTGATTTAGAAAGCAGAAGCTGAGGCCTTTATAATGACGTATATAATGCTTAAGTAACCTAGAGAAATGCGTGTGCATATCATCGGCAAACAGTGTTTCAAGTTTGGATATGTTTTTACAAAGTACATATTTTATATTGACGGTGCAATTTTATCGGTTCATATTCATCTAAGTTATAAGAGCTTAAAGGTACGAAAAACCGTTTTTTTACCCGTATCTCAAGATTTTGGAGGTGTTTTGCTAATTTTAAAAACATATCCTTTTTCTACTCGTATCCACCTAATCAGAAAAATAGTATCACTTCCATGTACTTCAATTATTGTTTATTTTGTATCAGAACCAGAATTGCTAAATAATCAGGAGTAGTTACTTACTTTGTCAAGAAGTTCTGATTTTTTGAAGTAAGTTGATGAAATTAACCAAAACAATAAACACATTAATCCCAAAAGAATTGAGAATAGAAGAAGACAAATAAATAATAATTTACTACCGAATACAAAAAGAATCACCCAAATAGGCAAAGAAATATTTACTTTTTATATTTGGAAAATTTTAAATTTGTCACGAAGTGTTAAGAGCACTTTAGTATTTGGATTGAGTTATAGAAAGCGAGGGTGGTAAACCCTTAAAAATTACAATACATGCACATACATATGTATTTGTGTTGGAAATGTTATTGTTTTTCTCACTTTAACAATCACTGTACATATTCAAAATTTGTTTACTTATTACTCGCTTGTATGTGTGAATATGTAGTTAGTACAATGTTGTATTATGCTCGAAGCAATTCCGGGAAACATTGTTTGATCAATATACATACATATAATCAAATTCAAACTTGACAAGAAAATGTTTTATTTTGATTTCATGTACAATAGGGATATAACTAATTTGGCGAAATTTTTGGCATACCACCACGAGATGGCCAATGTTGTATAATTATTGAAAATAATTTTCTTAGGTCATTTGAAATCAAAAACATCACGCACCAACCCCAATTTCTAATATAAACCAATTTTTTTAAATTTTTTATTTTTTTAATTTTAAGACTAAAATATTTATATATGGGCATTTCTACCTAGAAGTATATTTTTGTCACATCGCGACTCATCATTGCCTATATCTCCGAACTTTTTGATTTTTCGCAAATATACTATTTTACATCCCTAAATCAAAAAGTCCATAAAAAATTATTTGTTGATCATATTTGTTTTGACCATATCTCCGATTCTTATGGACTGATTTTACGGGTTTTAAACAACTAAACACTTAAAAGCATATTTAAATTAATTATCTATGATTTGGATTCCGAAGACATATGGAGCCTTCAAAAAACTGATTATAAAAAACAGACGGACAGACATTTGGTGCGTGAACTGTTTAACCAACCGCGAAAAAATAATAATGTAGTTTCTCATAGTTTTTAATACTCTATTCGACTATGATATGTCAACTTGCATATTTGTAAAGAATGTCAATAGTTATATCCCTAATGTACAAGCTTACATACAGACATATACATACCCTGTCGGATTTTATGAGTTAACTCAAAAACCTAACTCATAATATGATAAATTCTGGTTAGCTGAAGCTGATGTTCCTATGACATTACATATAAGAGTTGAATAGGGTTTTCCAAGCAAAATGGTTAGCTGAGTTAGAGCCTTATTTTTAGTGTTGCCAGTAGCTTCAGAAATAAAAGGCTAAATCGGCTAAAAGGCTAAACGGCTTAAAAAATAAGGCTAGAAAATGGTAAATTTTACGCCTCAAAAATATGTATTAAAACAAGTGAAAAATAATAGTAGTGCATTTCCGACCATAAACCAATTATTTCCGAAAGTCCTAGAATGTACCCAAGATCTAAAACCATTTATACCATAAACCACTTTAGTGGGGAGGGTAAAAAATATTTGTCATATAATCTCCTTAAAGTACCTATACCAATCGATTAAGCCGATTTAGTCTATTTGTACGGCTTACTGGTTGAATGGCCATGTTAATCTTGCGAAAGAAGTCGCAATATTCAAGATAATTTGATGAAATTTCGTATGCCAAATTTCAATAGGACGAAGTCTGTGGAAAAGGTTAAAATCGGTATATGATTTTATTTAGACCCCAACAACCGAACCCCCTAAATAGTGCTTCTGAGCTCCTAATTATGTTAAATATACCTTTATCACGAAAAAAGTTTTTTATAAGCACTGATTAGACTGCCATATTTCGTAACGGTCGGATCTTATTTGACCCTAGCCCTCACAAAAAGGCCCCTTCCAAAAATTACTAGAATATTAATTTACTTATAAACGATAATCTCGCGACAAAATTCAGCACATTTTGTGGAGATCGGTCTATATTTGCCCCTAGACCTCATATAAAGCTTCTCTCAAAAGATAGTTTTTAGTCAATAAATTGTTTAAATGTATCGGAATCAAAGAATTCGGTTCATTGATTCTTTTTTTTTATTAAAAACAAACTTCCTTTAAGAACATAAACAATTTTATGTTTTTCTGGAAGCTTAATACATTTCAGTTTAATCGCTTAATAAAGATTTCCTTAGGCCGGTTACCTGCGGCCGGGTGCAAGGACTTTTTATTCTATGGTATGTCCAACAACAGCTTCGCTTAATAAATATTTCCTAAGTTTCCCTCCACGCATACATATTTAGCAAAATCTAGAAAAAATGCATATGTGTTTTGTAGATTATTTTTTACATCACTTTTATTTGCAAAAGGGTTAAAAAACTGATAATAAAATTTTTACACCGTTGGAAATGTAATTATCTTAAATATTATAAAATATAATTTTAGGTGCATTTTCTTTGTTCAATTATTTTACAACTCAAAATCCCAACGGTCTTTTATTTTACACTAGTAAGATTTGGACACTTTTGGGCACCTCTAATGTACATCCTATGTATATCAATGTATGGGTGTTTTTGTGAGTGCTTTGATAGTTTTTGTACGTTGTTGCGGTTTCTTTGAATAACCAGGAGTTCAGGATTCAGTTAATCTCCTGGCAAAGTTGGCATTTTCTGATGCACTTCTAACCACAACACAGCACACGATTTGTGACCACTGTTTTGTTTTCTAAATACACAAACTTCTATTTATTTTGTTTTCTGAATACATATTTTTGTTTATCACTTTTTATACCAAAAGAGATGGGATGTATGCAGTGTTGCCAAAACCTAATTGCGAAAAAGTGATAGATTGTTTAGAAAAAAATGCTAGAAAGTGCTAAAAATAAAAAAAAAAATGCTAGAAAAAGTGCTAACAAAATTAAGGCTTTTTATTGTAAAATATTTAAATTTTTAAAATAAATATTATTTTTAGCTTAGTACGCAAATGGACCAACTCCACTTATTATAGGTCGCTTTTAATACAGAACAAAATGTTTATAATAAATAGTTTTAGAGTTTTTCGATTCTTGCTTTATCCCAAAAAGAGGATTTTTTATATAGTTCCCCTAGAATTTTTCTAAAATAGCTTTATTTTTTGGTATTTTTTAACTGCATAAATAATGTTTTTACCTTAATAAGCAAACGTACCAAATACACTTATTATGGGATGATTTTAGTACGGAATTAGAAATGCTTATTCAGTAAATTTTTTTTGGT